TTAATTCCTAGGTATTTTATTTTTTGTGGGGCTATTACAAATGGAGTTGCTTTCCTAATTTCAGCCACACTTTTCTCATTGTTGGCATACAGAAAAGCCACTGATTTTTGGGGGTTAATTTTATAACCTGCTACTTTGCCAAAGTTTTGAACGCTGATGGTATTTCTTTTACAGGCCATTCTTCATGAAAAGTTGAGAGGTCCAGTGATTCCTGTTTTCTCCTAATATCCTTTCCAGTTTAAAATTCATAAAAATCTTTGTGTCTTGTTCAAACTCTTGAAAGTTTTATTTTAAGCTAAGCTGTGATTTGGATATGGTGACGTTCGTGTTCTAGAATCTTGGTCTCCAGGGTGACAGGGTTTAGGTGGTGGAACTCTAGAGAGGTGGTCCCTCCGCAAGGAAACTAGGTCATATGGTCACAACTAGCCATCAGCAAGGTGGAAACTGTGTGGAAATACTGTCTCACCTAAGTAGCCATGTGCCCATTTCAGACCTAGGGAGTCTGTTTCTAATGTGGGAAATGGATGTTCTAAGGCAGTAGTGATCGTTCTTTTAGTGATTACCAAAAGAACTGGTTATTTTTATGCTTAGGTATTAGTATATAGATGAGGAATAAGTAGACATACTTGGAGTCATAATTATATATATGCAGGAAATACCCCTTCTGTGCATTTTTGTATTCCCATCATCTTGCGTAGTTTACTACTGAAAATAAGCACACAGGAAAAAACTTTATAATGAGTGAACAGCTTCACCCCCCCTTGTTTGAATAATCCACATTATTTGCATATTATTTTTCTTACCTACATTTCAATTTCTTAGAGAGGGTTTATGAATACAGATGATAATATGGCCTAGTATAATAGAGGAAGGCTTTGTATTTCAGTATATGTTGTGTGTGTAAAATCTCATAGAGCTCTGAATTAACTTACACATTAGGACCAATTTTCCCTATCACCAAACTGGCAGCTTTAACTTATTTTATCATGTTTTAATTATTCATAGACTCAGATGTCGTCTTTTGAATGTTCAGTATGGTGTCTGAGAAAATTCTGAAATGCTCTTCTTTTAAAAACTGAAAACCTATGGTTACTTATTGGTTATGAAGATGTTTTCTGCACATTTTATGGACATATTTTATATAATATATATCTTATATATTGACCACTTTAAAGGGATCTGCAGAATAAAGATTTTCTGGCATTTTTATGTCTCAGAATAGGTATTTTAGAGAATTTTTTAGGATAATATTTTGTTTTTTTTTGGCTTTCTCTTAATGTACAGATTTGTTTTGTATATTAACTCTTAGCACATTTTTTTATTAACTCTTAGTTGCCAGGTGCGGTGGGAACATAAAAATCTGTGACACCCAATTTATACCTCACGTGAGTTTAGTGTCAATGCCACACTATGGAGGGACTGAGCCAATAACTGCAGTGCCATGTGCCTGCCATCATAGTTATACAGAAGGCTTAAACAGTGCATTGTAGTTCCTAGAGCTAGCAAAATGTTTTTGAGATCCCTTATCAATAGAAAAACTGGGCATGGTGCCTATCATTCTACCCATGGCAGCCCAGACAAAAAGCACCTCTTTAATCTCAAAAATAACCTGAGCAGTAGGGGCTGGAGGCATGGCTCAGGTGGTAACGAAACAAGCACCAAGCCCTGAATTCAAACACTAGAACTGCTGGTGGGAGGTGAGGGTATGTGTCAGGGAGAGGGAATGATTGATGTGGCCTGCCTTCAGAGTTGATTAGAGAATGCACTGTGGCACACAGATGGAGGAAACCAGGGAGTCAGAATGTTGGGAACTTTTATGTAAGTAAGGAAAAGAAAGGATGTGTTTAGAAGCAAATGTTTCACTTAAAAGACATCTGAACATAAGTACCAGGCATATTTAGGTGCTGTGGCTACAGAGGTCAAAAAGAGGAGATAAAGAAGCCAGCAGGATACCATAAAGTGTCGTTGCAGTTTTCATCAGGGATGGCACAATCATGAAGGACAGGACCAAGAGTGGAAATGAGTCTGCACCTGATATAAGAAGCAGGAATATGAAAGTGAAAGATCTGAGACAAGGACAGGGCTTGGGGAAAGGTGGCTGTGAATTATAGTGGTAGTTATTAAAAAGTATAGTTGCACATATATAATACTATATATCACAACTATATATATATATATATATAAATGTGTACATACATTAAGAGTGCTTGAAAAAATAAATTTTCATAACAAAAGAAGCTTCTTGCTTATCTTTCTTTCTCCTCTTGGATGACTTTCTTTGAAGCTAATTTAGATGAAGCAAGCCACTGCATCTAAACCTTTGGTACCCTGGCATAATTTCAAAGAAATCTTCTGTCCCAGTTAGTTAACTACATTTCCCCAGGAAAAAAAAAATCAACAAAACTTTCTCTGTCAATGTAACATCCTTTAACTGGACTCCTGCTGGTTGGTTCTTGTATCTTGCTGTGGCAGCTGTGAACATATATACTATTGATTGTTAATGTGTGATATAAATCCGACTGGAGCATGCCCACTAATTGGTTTGAGAGTTAGATATAGACAATGCTGTCTTATAGTGGCCTGTGTAGATGGGCCTAGTCATAGGGTTAATTCTGCTTGACAGCACATCAGCAGCATCTTGAGAATAATTACCTAACAGAAGTTTTCCCACAGCTGAACTGAGAGCTTCAAAGGCTTCTGAATTTACAGCCAGTATTAACCTATATCTGAAACATAATGTTCCCACAAAGGCTCAGATTTTTTTTCCTCCTTCTTATTAAATGTATGGGGTTACTAGGTTCATTTGCTGTGTGCTAAGAACTTAGTGAAAAGATACTTGATGTTAAATAATTGAAAGTCTTTAATAATTAAAAATAGTATAATTATAGGTTTTTTTTATATACTGTTGAAATAAGTTAACCTGCTAAGGTTGAATGTTTCAAAAAATGTACTTTATGGTCTTTTTCTCAGAAATAAAACAAGCTAAAAAAGTTACTGAACTTTTATTACTGTGCTATCTATAATTATATGTGCATTTTTAGGGGGTTATGGTAATTCATACATTTAAAAGCATTCAAATAAATATATTCTTACATTTTAGAAAGTCATTTTACTTCTTGGTTTATATACAGAAATATATAATTATTATACTTTATTACTCTATAAGATAAGTGTTGTTTTTATAATTGTAAAACAAATTTTTTTCTTTGTAGGTCAGAAACCAAATTTGACTCCGGTTCAGGTATGTTTACATTAATACTAGTATTCTGAGAATATTTTATTTACATTGTTCTCTGAGGAGTAGCTCATCAAATCTAGAATAATTTTGATTTTAAACAGACTAGCGGCAGTCTTTTGTTCAAAATATGAGTCTCACCTCTAAGTAAGGCTGTTGGCTACTTTGAACCATAATTTTACATGTTCACTTAGGGATTCTTCATACTTCTACAACAAGCATTAAATACTCTCTATATGCACACTTTCAGTTTGAAAGCAAAAGTGGAGGTTGTACAAATTTACTTCTCAAACCAGAATATTATTTTCTCCAGGGGCAAAACATCTTAAATAGTTTGAAATGTTTTTACAAGTGATTTGTAATCAAATGGGGTTGATGGATGCATTTAATCCACCAAAGTGAATTTTAGCCATTAAAAATAGAAATTTATCTATTACTTAGTCTTTAAAAACTGGGCCACAGGTGGAGTACTAGAAAGTTAAAGTCACCTTAAAGCATTGTTTTTTATCTAATAAGAGAGAATTTATGTCCTCACCAACAGTGGCATGTTAGCCTCATTAGATGTTTTCTTCTCTTTAAGCATGAATATAGCCATATAGTCTTTACATCACTGGGTGAGATTTATGTACTTTGGTTTCTCATAATGCTCACAAAAATTGCCTTATTTAGAATATCAAAAAATTATGTCCTTTGATGGACTGTTAATAAGTAGACACCAGTTTGTAATTCCAGGATAAAAAAAATTACTTGTTGATTTAAAAAGTATGGTAAATGTAGCCTTCTGGGCTAGGAATTTGGCTTAGTGTTAAGAGTGCTTGCCTAGCTTGCATGAAGCCTTGGGTTTGATTCTTTGGTACTACATAAACAAGACAAAACAAAAAATAATAACAGGAATCCAAAGAAAATGTGAAAAAATAAAGTAGCCTCTTATTCTTGTGTGAGTTCCACTATACCTTATTTAAAAATATTTTGGCTTATTATGTTAACAAGGAACCATGTACTATAAATTCTTTTGATAGTAGTTAACTAGCTTTATCTTCCTTTTTATGATTAGCTTTATGAATTCTTCCAATTTGGTGAGACTCTTAAACTATGAAATCTGTCCACTTGAATTAGCAAATACACCTAATTGAAGACCATGATTTCAGAAATCCTTTTATTGTGTGTGCTCTGCTAGTAATAGTTAAGACAAAATTCCTTTGGTAGGTAATGGTGATATGGAGGCTAACGTTAGAGGGCATTATATTAACTATTTGATTCTTAATAACTCACTGAAGGCAACTTAAGGTAGGGTTAAAAATCTTTTTCATTTTTGATAGTTAAAATCTTTAAACATAATAATGAATGAAATCTTGAAGAGTGATGGTTTTATATAAGAATCATATGCCCTTTAAAATCCCTGCCAGTCAGGCACTAAGTATTAAGAATTCACTTCATTATGACACAGTTTAATTCCTTACGTGTCTACCTTTGGGATACAAGATCTGGAATATAAATTTTAAAATGACAAAGTCTACTAGGCTTATTTTGAAGATAAAACTTGGAAATAGTGTACAAAGGTGAAATATTAGGCTGTTGTTGTCAAAGTCAAATAGTTTATGTTAAATTTTCAAATCCAAATTAAAATATGCCACTAAATTTATGTACTGAAGGTTAGCATTTATCATGGAAATAGTTATAACATCTTACAGGCACACATCTTTCACTCTTGTAACTCAAGGTTTTATACATGGATTATATTTTTTCAAGTTCCAATTAAAGAAATTATCATGGACAACATCTGTATGTCTTTGAAAATTACGAAGTAATATACTATTAAAATCTTCTGAGGAATTCTGATTAAAAGTTTATTCTTTTCATTTTGAGTTTAAAAAATGGGGAAAATTCAGAAGGTTTCAAATTAATTTCTTATAAACTCTTAGCTTTCCTTTGAGTGGAGGGGTCATGACAAAGAAAGCAAGAAGTTATTTTGGCATTTTATATCATGCAAATTTTGGTTAGAAATAAGGTAGCGTATTGGAACAATTAAATGTTTGACTTGAATAGGTTCTGATTTCTTTTTTTTTGTCAGTCATGGGGCTTGAACCCTGGGCTTGGGCGCTGTCCCTGCGCTCTTCAGCTCAGGGCTAGCGCTCTACTGCTTGAGCCACAGTGTCACTTCCAGTTTTCTAGTGGTTTATTAGAGATAAGAGTCTCATGGACTTTCCTGCCCGGGTTGGCTTTGAACCGTGATCCTCAGATCTCAGCCTCCTGAGTAGCTAGGATTACAGGTGTGAACCACTCACACCTGGCAGGATCAGATTTCTTATTGTTTGTTAAATACAGAAAATAAACCAGCTCTGCTTAATGTTGTATACAGCTGTGACAAAGTAAGTTTCTTAAGTGAAGGAAGATGCCAGTCTACCTAAGGGGGTGGAGAACTTTAAAAATAAAAGCTATGGTCAATGACTAGCCATAAAGGAGAGGATTTCAAAATCAAACTATATATATATATGTGTGTGTGTGTGTATGTATGTGTGTGTGTTCTGCTAGTGATAGTTAACACAAAATCCCTTTGGTAGGTAATGTTGATACAGAGGCTAAAATTAGAAGGCATTATATCAACTATTTGATTCTTAATAAATTACTGAAGGTGACTTAAGGTATACACACACACACACACACACACACACACACACACACACACGAGTTTTTCAAGGTAAGTATTCCACTTAAGCAAAGCTTACAACACAGCATTTGTTTGTGCAAGTGCATTTATGCTATGGGATGAAAATGGAAAAGAAGGAAAGGAAGTTTTCATTGCCAGTACATGGTAAAGAAAATTAAGTTGTTGAGTGTATACCAGATTATTAACCAAGAACATAATGTAAATATTTCTTATCAAACTGAATCCTTTTATTCTATGAGAGCCAATCTACAACCTCTATTTTTTAAGGTTAAATTTTAATAATGAAATTTTCAACTGATAGTATGATGAGCACCAACACAATGAATATCTACCTAAATTTTACATTATTAGTAATTTGTCATACCTGTTTCCATTTTTTTGTTCACAATATTTTAAAGTAAAATACATAGTTTATCTTTTCTTCCGGAGCTGGGAATTAAACTCAAGGCTGTGTGCATGAAAGGCAAGTACCCTGCCACTGACTTTCAGCCCCAAACCCTCATGAGACTTTTAAGTCCTTATTTAAAGAGGTAAATTAATTTTAGAGGTTTTCATCTATTTCAGAAGTTTGGGTCATAAAGAAATTGTTATGGAATGGACATTAATAGTCATTTAAATCCACCTTAGAAACTTTGGAAATTCTACTGATGGTGACTTGTCTAGTGAACTTTCAACCAGAAGAGACTCTAAATTAATGCTGATCTGGGAATCACAAGAATGTTCTATTCTTACTATTAGTTTGCTTAAAAAACTTAGACTCTGGTTTAACTGTAACTTCTGTGTACTGAGTATTTTATATACTGATTTAAAAACTTTTCTGTGGATTTTTAACAAGCAACTAAGGTTTTGGTTTTGCCAATTGGAAGCAGTAACCTACCATTTTTCTAAAGGAGGTTTAAGGTTTTATGTTAACACCAGTTTCTAGTTGATATAGTAGTGACGTTGCTTGTCTAGGATCTTGTGGAGTTGGTGACTTTGTTAATAGAGTAAAACAGACTTCCTTTTATGTTCAGAAGTAGCAAGAAGCTGTGCTCTTCTCCCCACCTACCAAGAAGGGAAGTTAGTTGATGCTGGAGGAAGCAAAGCATTGAGTTTAATGTACTGATTAAACATGAAAGCCATATATCAAATCTCCGGAGAAACATGCTTTTGAAAGAGGCAGAGAACTGTGGAGCATATTGCATAAATATACTATATAAACAGAGCCCTGGAGGTCAGTGTGTGGATGCAAACCAATTAAATAAAGAACTTGCTGGCTGTGCTTTCTATCATCAGGATTGGGAGGACCACAGTTTAACATGCACCCAGAGGTGAAGTGTAAACTTTGCTAGGGTAAGCTAGTCACCTTTGGAAACTTCATTAACTAGCAATCTGCTGCCAAGGGATTCCCTTCCCCCTCCCATCCCACCCCCCTCCCAATGTTCCTAGAAAGTTAAAAATAAAAATAGAAGATAGAGTATATGTGTGTATATGTGTCATCTCGGCTATTCTGCAACATGTATTCCTCAGCAAAAGTGTTAGTCATGAGTAGAATAGAAAAAGTAACAGGATGAGCTGCTGAAAAGACCCAGAATTGGTTCCATAGTCAGAGTTCAAGATTGTACATGTCTTTCAAAAAGCAACCCATTTGGGGCGCTGGGAAGGTGGCTCAGTGGTAGAGCACTTGCCTTGCATGCATGAGGCCCTGGGTTTGATTCCTTAGCACCACATAAGCAAAAAGAAAAAAGCTGGAAGTGGTGCTGTAGTTCAAGTGGTAGCTCACTAGCCTTGAGCTGAAGAGCTGAGGGACAGCGCCCAGGCCCAGAGTTCAGGCCCCACGACCGGACCCCCCCAAAAAAAAAGTAAATAAAAATAAATTTTTTTTAAAAAAAACAACCCATTGGGAAAAGCAGAGCTTTTTGGAAAAAAAAAGATGTTTATCTCTAATTTTGAATTCTGATTGATCACTAATACAACATTTAGAATATTATTTTTTCTGATCTTTACAAGTTACTAACTAGATGTTAAGGGCAGTCAGCAGGCTCTTTCTTCCTTATTAACAATCTCAGGAAATGTTTGGATGAAAAAATGAAATACCAAGTTAAATGGTATAGTTTCAAGATCCATAAACATGCAAAAAATTTTTTTTTGTATAGAGTCAAGTTGGCTGAGATAGTGAATAAGCTTATGGTTTGGGCTTGTTGGTTCTGGGTTGTCTGGAATAACTATATTAAGGAAATGGGCTCATAGAACACAGCAACTCAAAGGTATAAAATTTCATGAAAGCAAATTATGGAGGATTAAGAAACCTAATGAGCATGGTTTAGTGTGGAGGGTTGAGGCGGGAGCTCACTATTAA